TTGTTTGAAAAAATAAAAAATTTAAATCTCAAAATATGCAAATTTAAAATAAATCTTTTAAGACTATATAATTTCAAATTAAAAAGTTACCAACAACAAACATGAGATCGGGTCAGCCACTGCAACTTTATTAATTATTAATCATGTGACATTCAAGGTCATTTGAAAATTCTAATTTTGAATTTCAAAATCTAAGAAAGTAAAAACACACTCCCCTTGAGATCGGGTCAGTCACTACAACTTTAATTTTTTTTAATTTAAAGTACTTTCTCCATTCTAAATTATAAGACGTTTGACTTTTTTACACCAAGTTTGACCACTCATCTTATTCAAAAATTTATGCAAAATATCATTTCTTTTGTCGTGGCTTGCTTTATTAATAAAACTTCTTCAAGAATGACTTAAATTTGACTACGTTTGCACAAATTTTTTGAATAAGACGAGTGATAAAACTTGGGGTAAAAAAAGTCAAATGTCTTATAATTTGGGATGGAGGAAGTAGCTCTCTTCGTTCGGGGCGCCTAGAAGCACCCCTCCCCTTGAGATAATGGGCACAACTTAGCCGTCTGCCGATGAAATCGACGCCGGCAATGGCGATCTCGTCGTGGCAATCATCGAAGTCATCACAGGAAACATGATCCTAACCGAAAATCATCTGATTTCGTCGGAAGATTTATTTGGACTAAACCCTAAGCAACTAGAAAAAAACTGCAGAAAAATAAAGAGGTGGATCACCTCCCCTTCTTATCCTTGGCAGACGCACCGGAGAAGAAGGAGAGATGCCCTAGATGGAGACGGGGCATAGGCAAGAACGAGCAAGGGCGGCGGCGGCGTTTCCTCTTGACCTAGGCGGCGGCTCATGCGTTTCGCGTTGGTTTTGCGTAGGAGGCAGTAGCAAATTTGACCTAGCTTGTAATTATTAATTTGACTATAGGAAGGCTTTAAGGATTATGTAATCTTTTGTAACTCTATTCAAAAGTAGTTTCAATATATATCCAAGTTACTTGGGAGCTGGTTATGGGTTCAATGTCAACACTAATAAAATGAGTTGAACTGAAGCTTCGTCAAGATCCCAATTTCTATGTCAAACGTTATCTCTTTTTAAGAATTTGCTTAGTTTCTTTGTATTTTTTGTCAGATGCTAATTTCCAGTATACTTTGTTGAGTAAATAACTTGAGATCAACCCAATATTCCTTCTTGAAAAGCCTATCCAATATTTTAAATTGGAAGGCATTTTTTGTTGATTTAATATTTTCTATATTTACTGATTTAATATTTTTCTTCAAGACATGCCACTTTAACATTCCTTTTGTTTACTCAAACTTTACAGACATTTGTCACTTCAACTTGACTAACCATTTTTTATATATAATTTGGCATTTCTTTTGCAATGGTTAATTGCCAGCGGTTTTTCTTGAATCAACATTGTTTAGTGATTTATTAAAAGAATTATATCCAACATTTTTTAATAGAAAAATAGGTACAACAGTTCTCTTTTTTTGGGGGGAGAATAACAGTTCTTTTGTGGGTGTGTTGTTTCGACTTTTGATATTTCAACTTCTTTGTACACTCATCGGCTCACTGCTTTTTTTTTTGGGGTAAGGCGTTGCTTATATTCAACATGTTTCGTTGCAACCATTGATATTTTAGTGAAGTTTGATTGAGTCAGCAACTTAAATGATCCTACATTTTATTTTATTTTAAAAGAGTGGAGCCAACATTTTCTTTAAGAAAAAAATAGAAAATTGTCTTCACAACGGATGGTTTACATCGTCATTCAGGATCACTGTGCACCGTACTTCATAAGTTGGAACAGAACAGAATGAACTAACACTAATCAGCCAAGACCGAACAGCAACGGTATTTTCTACTTTCTTCATCCCAACACTCTAGTTTGTCCTAAGTCAAATCATCATATATTTGACCAAATTTGTATTGACATTTATAACACAAACAGACATACTACAAGAATGTTTCATGATCAAGTCTCATGATGCTTATTTGTGGCCAGAGGAATTCAAGAGCTTATACTGATACAGAAAAAATTATTGACAGGGTACAGAATGCCGCAACAGCAAAGATCTATAAATTTTCTCAACAGTGTTCGGAAAATGCCAGAACAGATTGTTGAAATATTCATGCAATAGTCGAAGTACTGAGGGAGAAAAAACATCCATGCACCAGCAGATTGACAATGAAAGCAATTCACAAACAGAATAATTTTGATACAGAAGATACGTGGAATACGTAAGAGTTCAGTTCCAGTTGTTCATGAATACAGAAGAATAATCATGCCAATGACGTAACCGCCATGATTGTATATACAAGTAATTCTAGAGTTTAGAAGAAAATGGGATAATGAGGCCATCAATTCATTGCTCAATTGTCAGAAATGTCAATAACATTTCATACCAATCACAAATCATGGTTCTCGTGATGGTCTTACCCTGCAAGAATACCTAACCTTGGAACCTCAGGAAGAATGATGCACCCATCCATCGCTTTTTTTTTAATAAAATTCCACTGCTATTGTTCTGTTCTGTGATTCTGTCCTCTTCCTTTCACCTTTTGGGTTTCCTCTCTTCCTTCATCTCTATGTCTCACACATGAGGAATATGACAGATTGAATGTAACAATACTGTATATACATTGAAGCCAGCTAAGAATGGAACTGGAGAAATCAGTTCTGAAGGGAAGACACTCATTGCTCCACAAAATTCTTGTTATCTACACAATAGAGACAAGCAACAAACATCAGATGGATTACATCGGAGGCAGTAATTCTGCTCACAATAGGAATAACAAAAACAGAAATGATCAAATGCCATAACTATATTAGGACATATAAGCTTGATTGAAGCATAGACAACATTTTTTGTTATATATATTTGGATATTGATATTAAAATGGTAGAATAGCACAATAAAGATTGTACATAATTGTGGGTCAGGCAGAGAGCATGTTTTTCAGTTGTAAATAAACAAAAACAAAAGTCCATGTTGATTACCAGCTAGGTCAAATTCAGAAAATCTGATAAGCCAAATGAATAAATGAATACAGAATCGATAATAACAACAACAACAAAGCCTTTTAGTCCCAAGCAAGTTGGGGTAGGCTAGAGTTGAAACCCAACATGAGCCCCTAATCATGGTTCAGACACGTCAATAGCCGCTTTCCAAGCACTCGTATCCAAACAAAGATCTCTAGGTATATCCCAACCCTTTAAATCTCTTTTAATTGCCTCCTCCCATGTCAGCTTCGGTCTTCCTCTACCCCTCCTCACATTGATATCTCGACTTAGCACTCTAGAATGCACTGGTGCCTCTAAAGGTCTCCTTTAGACATGGCCAAACCACCTCAGCCGATGTTGGGCAAGCTTTTCTTCAATTGGTGCTACCCCTAGACGATCACGTATATCATCATTCCGAACTCGGTCCATTCTTGTGTGACCACAAATCCAACGCAACATACGCATTTCCGCAACAGTCAGATGTTGGACATGTCGTCTTTTTGTAGGCCAGAATCGATAAAGGAGCGAGAAAATTATCATTATCAATAAAGAAATATTTCTAGGGAGGATTAACACAAAACCATTTCTATGTGTCTCAATTGATGCAAAGAACAGTACAATGATTAGAGATGGGATGCTCAGATTGAATTCTCAAAGTCTGTCCTGACAGCAGCAGCAGGTGAGCTGATAAAGACAGAAGAGATGGTGCACGGGGGGACGAAGCAAGATGGAGAACAAAATGAAACTTTTCCCCGTCTGACTCCCCACTAATGATCCCCCGTATGACTCCCCACTAATGATCAACAATGGCACAAAGGGCAAGGTTCTAAAAACCAATGACATATAGGGAGCATTCATTTTCATTTCATTGTAGATGCCTCACATCTAAGACTTTTCAATGGTAATAGTAAGATGTGTATTTGAGAAGACGCGAAAAGAGTGGATGTGTAGGACCAAAGCTCAGACAAGCAAGCAATAATGGGCCACAGCTAATATGTATGGTAGGAACAAGCTCAATGCTTTGCAATATTGAAGCTATCCAAATTTAGAAACTAGACGCAAAATTAACATAGACTAGCCGACAGGGCACATCTCCAAGAACAAAAATAGCAGTGCCGTATGTGTGTATGTACTGCTGACCAATTATTTGGTGGGTTCAAGGTGTCTGATAAATTTACGACTACAATAGAAAAACTGATGACTATGACACATTCATTAGAGGTTTCCGAGCAAACTCAGCAATTGACTTGATTCACAGCATCACTAACCAACTTTATTAGTTGCAACTTGGAGCACAACACGATATACAAAAAGTGAGGGATAATACTAATGTGATAGTTTTTGGGTAAACGACATGTATGAATGATCATGGCACTACGGCAGCATAGCAAACGAAGAGGAAACAAGCATGTATCAAGTACAGCTATGTCCTACTCATATCATATGGTAACCTTAATTAGCCATGGTAAGTTGTGTTATGACTATCGACAGTAGACAACCATAGCAAACTTGAATGCTGACAGTAGATACTATAGGAAACTTAAATGCTGATAGGCCAGACACCCAAAGATTACAACTCTTGCTGTTCTTTTTCTGCTCTCAGTAATGCAAGTGTTTCACCTGCACTAAAACTTCAGCTGCTCATTGTACTGTTGTGGGCTCATAGATTGTACATTTATACTATGCCTATTCGCTGGTTGGTTTCTTGGCTGATAAGCCCGGCTGATGCTGGTTTGTTGTGAGAGGAAAACACTGTTGGCTGGCTGATAAGCCCTGGCTGAAACCAGCAAGCGAATAGGCTGATTGAGGCTGATTGGCAAAAGCATTCAACAGCTGTTAACTAGAAACTTGCCAATTGTAGGGCATCAGTTTAACAGGCTAAACAAACAGGTTTAGTAATGTACTGTAATTAATGAGTACTTACTGTCTATCTACCAACTCAGTTACTCTGAAGTCTGCACTACACCTAGTAAGTGCTAGTAGTAGTCATCAATGAAGAAAGAGCAGCATATTCAGCTCACCAGAAACGCCGCCGTGGGCGACACCACCTGGACCAGGGAACCTACCATCAGGACGGGCAGGCCGGTCAGCGCGGCCGTGTCGATAGCACGGCACGAGGACGGCGAAGCTGCCCTCGGAGTCCGCGTCGCTCTGTAGGTCCGGCGCGAGCGGCTCGAGCCAGCCGATGGACCAGTCGGAGCCGTCGGAGTCCGAGTCAGACAGGCAGCCGTCGCCGTCGGACTGCACGATAACCATGCCGCGCTCGCCGTCAACTCTATCCTCCGCACGGCCGCCGCGCCGGCGGATCTTGCCCTTACGCGGCCGTGCCACGCCGGAGCCCGGGCGCCCGACGGCGTCTGGCTCCCGGAACCCGGACGGGGAATCCGGGAAGAGGCCTTTCGTCACGGCCGTGCTCACCGCCGGTGGCTCGCGGCCTCTGCGGTTTCTAGTTCTGCTCCCCGGCCATATCCACTGGGAGAAGCGGCTCAGCGACATGGCCATTGTGGGGGGGAAAAATCAAAGAATGCTCGTGTCCTCTTGATCCGGGAGAAAATTGGGGGCAAAACTGACAAAATCAAACAGGATAGAGCAAAGCAACAGACTAATCTGCGAGGAAAACCTTATCTTCTTCAAGAACTAGATCCAATAAACATCTGTCTCACCAAAAGTGGGATTGGCAAAAACACCGCCTTTAAGGGAAAGCAACAAGGCTGGATCGAGTGAGAAACAAAAGAAATCGCTGATAATTATAGCGGTTGCTTCTCGGCGCAAATCAGAGGAGCAAGGAGAAAGCAACGGTAGTTAAAGAGTTTCTGAGACGAAACCTATCGCCCACAAAATTTCTCTCCACTCCAAAGGAACCACCAATCCAGTACATCCAAAATGGGTGGAACTCCGGAGAGTGGACGAACCAAGAACAGACTGACTAACAGCCTCGGAGAGAGAAGGCGAGAGAGATTCGGCAACCGAAAAGATGGAAGAGCAAGGTTGTTGCGAGGTCGCCACGAGAATCTCGGGGTGGTGGAACCCGCTCCCTAGATTCGGATCTTGAGTTGTGGGGAAGAGGGAGAATCGGAGCCAGAGAACTGAACCGGAGAGCAAGATGCGTGACAGCGAGGAGAAGAAGAAGCCAAGAGGAAGAGGGGCCTAGGCCACTGACGGCCCTGATTGCGAGCCCAGTTAGATCTGGGCCGTCTGCTGGGGGTGGCCCACCGGAACCAACCGTCCGCGTGGAACGGATCCTTGCACCACGTGCGACGTGCTTGGAAGGCAAGTTTCCGCTGCCCGTTGAGAATTTGGGATTTGTCGTCTCCTGCCACTTGTGTGCTGCTGGGCTGGGCCTGGACTGGATGGATGGGCTCATCGTGTCGTGCTTGTGTGTAATTCAGCTCGTCACTCGACAGTGACGTAGTGTAACGTATTGGCACTTCGGAGGACTACAGAAAAAGGCAACGTATGACGTGTAAACCAATTAACATGTACAAACTTAAAGACCCCGTTCGGCTACCCTTGAACCGGCTTGATCCGCTTTCTTTTTTTATTCGGAACAATGTTTTTCTCTCACAATATTTCATCCGGAACAGTGTTTATCATCCACTTTCCTCCAAAAACCCTCCAGCCGAACGGGGCAAAAAACTACCAATTAAGACCACTATATGCTGATCTAATAAATAGGATGAGAGGTGGGATTTTTTTTGCGCTTAAACCCCCCATCCGCCGTCCTTTTTTTTTACGCTTAAGCCCCCTCACCCCATCCATTGGATCAGCATCCAGTGGTCCTGATTGGTAGTTTTCAAATTTACACAAGTTGGTTGGTTTGCACGTGAAGAAACGTCAGGAATAGGTCAAGCAACTAATAGGAACGTCTAGGCTGCTAGACATCTCTATTATAATGGATCAATTTAAACTATTTTAGCTGCACCAAACAATATATTCTCCGCTGAGAGAGTCCAACCACCGTGCACCAAACAAATTACACACATAATTTCAATATTATTAAAATCTATGACTCTTAATCATCTTTCGCAGGCTTAACTCGATTTGATGACCAATATTATTTGAATCTCCGGGCTTCAACGCACCCTCACCATCCCCCGCACTCCCTCCACGGTGAGGGATTGAATCCCGCGAGGATCCTGGGTCTATCCGGAAAGAAAACCAATCCAGCAAAGGTAGGTGAGATCGCGCGACAGCGCCTCTTCTTCCACACGTGCTACTTCGTGCATCGTGCTCGAGAGCAGGCTGCTCGCCTACTACAAGCCCAAGGACATGGTACGACTCGATTGTTTCAACATCGCCTGATTACTCGACATTAAGTTTTTTATTATTTTTTCCTTATTGTTATTATTTTGTCTCAATAATACGTGAGTATGATTTCAGGGAGTTCAAGTTTCCCAATCTGTTGGAATTCAATAGCAAAAGTAAACGAATGATTGTAATTTCGCAGGACCAAGATGATCAAATTCTTCTTTTTTTGCAAAGGAGCAGACAGGTAGGATTTCTACCATATTTTTAAATTCGGTGATGCTCTTTGAATTTATTTTTGGCTAAGCCTTTACATCAAGCCATCTGCATTCAGATTTTGATATTTTGTTATTACCTAAAAAATGTTGAGAAGCAAATTTGACATCTGATTACTTGGTGCTGTCAACATGCTTGGCCTGTTTGTTCTATCCTTTTCAAGGCCACCACTTTTTTGGGCTTCAGCTTGACTATCCTTTTTTGAAGTGAAAGCTTGACTATCCTTGATTGTTCTTTGTTCCCAGGTGCACTCAAGTCACCGCTGATAGATGGGAATTGCAGGATGGAGGATACGGGGCTCAAAAATCATCATGTGCAAGTGAGTCAGCTCGGATCGTCTAACTTTCTGAAGGTAAGTCATGGGTAACTTGCCCCCCCGCCCGATGCCATTCATTTACTATCCAACGGTTGATATAAGAGCATCTTTCCACCTTCCAAATCACAGCCCAATTACGTTTCGTGGCCCAAATAAGGCCCAGCTCGGGTTCAATATGCCTAACTTGTTCCTGCGGCCACTGGGAAATACGGACAGCGTACGGGATAATTTTGGGCGGGGGCTGGGCAGCGCTTGTTGAAGGCGGCGTCTGTGGCCACGCCTCTAACGCATTCAGCGTCAGCCATGATCTGTTCTTGAAGCTGCGCCCATGTCCGTGATGATCTGCTCTGCTCTTTGCGCGTCCCGCGCTGCCTCTTTGCCCAGATTCGATACCAGACCGGCTCGCGCGCCTTTTTGACTTTCCGCCGCCGCCGCCCTAGCTCCTGCCACATCTCAGCCGCCGACCTAGCTTTGCTCGCGTCTACGACGCAGCGTGCCCAGCTACGTCTGCGTTTGTGCGTCTGCTTCACCTTCGTCCGCTTCAGCAGTTCGCACGAATCACATGGATCTTTCGATCGGGAATTGGAATTCCCAGCTCCGCCGGCAGCCGGGAATCGGTGAGCTTCAAAGGAAGTAACACCGACAAGCTCCCCTGTTTTTTTTCTCAAAATGAATCGTTGAAGTGGCTTTAACTTTTGGTCCAAGTTCTTGAGGGATGGCGTGCAAGATTTGCAAGGATTACTTAGCACAAATACAGCCCAAGTCCAACTTGGAATTATACGACAGACAACTGCAGGAATACTAAGTATAAGTACTTCCATAGTAGAATTAAATAAGCATTTACTAAGTATTTTCAATAGTTTACATGGTCCAAATAACCAAAATAAACTCTCCTAAAAAGCACCACTACATCATATACTCTGTATACATATATGTATAATTAGCCATAAAATTGTTATGGCTTAAAACAAAATAATCTTCGCCAAGAGCCATCTGTTAGCGCATTCTAGACAGATTTGCCCATAAGAACAAAATATCCTTCCATGTGATAGCAATCTAAAGATCTTGAACAGCCATATAGTCAATTACGCTACGACCCTGCAAAGGCAAAGGAAAAAGTTAAAACGGAAAGAATTAATAATTAATTCTATATATTTAAAAATTACAGTACTATCGAAACTACCATTATCAAATCTGTGAAGCTAGTGAAGACCAAGGTATTATGGTCGTTATGAGCATTATCCATGGATTCTTGAGTTTGTACACCACCACCATTCTCTTCATGCTGCATAAAGCATCCAGACTTGTTTGTTAGCTAGTAGTGATAAATAGTTACAATATATTGATATTGCAAGGGTTTTCAGCAACATACATTAGATTTGTTTGGTACTTTCTTTTTGAACTTTCGAGTCTTGTCGAGCCAACTTCTTTGCCGCTTTGAATTTTTTGGTTGAATCTCTTTTTTCTTTAAGTATGCAGCACTAAGCATGTCTTCATCTGGTTGAACATTAGGCTGGACATTGTATGAATCAGACAAAATACTTGTAGACTCACTGATTTTCTCCTTCGATTGATTACTAAGACAATCAAGTGCATTATCTACCAATAGGGAACACTCTGTTGAGCTTGCACTTGATATGCCAAGTTCAGAAATTTATGAGACATAAACTTGTAGCGGAGCATAGCATCTAGTTTTAGATTTTCAATGATGCTCCTTCCTTTGTTGCCCTGTACAGTTCCATACCTTGCTTTCCTTGTCCAACGCTTCATAATGTAATGATTGGGCAATAACTTGATATTCATCAAGTCAAGAACTTTCAAAGCATGGCCACACAAAACACCAGTCCTTGTAAATTGCTCATAGTTGCACGAAGCTGTTTGCTCTAGAGGATCACCAACAACTATGCACTCTTGTTCAGAACTTAAATCACCATTAGACCTCACAATCGAAATAGCATACGTGTTATTTTCATCCAATGCTCTTGTGCATGCTGCCATGGATCTCTTATATATTAGCTTGGAATGCTTCAAATATTTGAGGGGTGTAAAGTTTGCTTGCTTGCACTAGCATAGGTGTCCTCATTCTTATTCTAGGTAGCTTTTTCCTAGCTTCAAATTCTTCATCTAGTTCTTTGTTTCTTTTTCCTTGCACCGCTCTTTCAAAATGTTTTAAGAACCGAATGATGTCAAAATCTGATTTCAGATGGTTTTTCAAGTCACTATTGAAACTCTCACTTAATTTGTGTGCTTCTCATACCCAATGTGAAAATATCCCTCATATAACATTCAACCCATTTTTCCTTAAACTTGTAGATGCTATCAAACCATGACACCCTCTTATTGTCAACCTTATTCCTCATGATATTAAATGCTTCTTCAAAGGCTATCTTGTCCTCAATGCTATACATGCAAGCACTAAAATCTGTTAAAATATGTGATTCTTCATCTTCATCATTTTTCTTATTGCATAAGTGCTTGACAGCATTTTGCATTATGTGATGAGTGCACAGCCCATGCCAAGCTTCTGTGAATACCTCCTTAATAGCATTTCCCATTGCAGTGTCTTGATCAGTAAATATAGCTCTAGGTTGTTTCCCATTGTGTGCAGCTAGAAAAGCTTTAAATAGCCATGTAAAAGATGCACATGTTTCATCGTATTGATTGA